TGGACCGTCCGATCGCGATTAAATTGAAAATAAATCTGGGCCGTCCATCGCGATGCGATCTGGGCCGTCTGTGCGTGATCAAATCTGGACCGTCCGTGCGCGCGAAAATAGATCTGGACCGTCCGATCGCACGCACGCGGATCGCCCACGTCTCTGTCCCGCGTGGCTTCCCGCATCAGCGTCCCTACCACGCGGCGTGTCCTGGTTGGCCGAGACTGCTGACATGGCGTTATTTTTCTAAATTACGTTTTGACTCTCGGTTTTCGATTTTCTTTTAAAAAACACCCCTAAAATCTAAATTTTCACTTTTTTTTTTCAAAATCAATTTCAATTAAATTCCAAAAATAATTTTACCTTATTTTATTATTTTTTTTATTTCTATTAAATTAAATTAAAACCTTATAAAATAATTATTAAAATAAACAAAATTCTAAATTAAATTAAAATAATAAATAAAATAATAAAAGAAAAATTTTTAGATGTTACATTTGCGGTTTACAATTTCAAAACTGGTTATTCAAATGTCATGAAACTAAAGAATTATGGATATTGCCAAAATTCTGTTTTCATGTTTCAAATAAATTTTGAGAATGTTAATTTAAATGGTAGAGGTATTTGGCTTTGGAACTCAATAACAAAAGAGCGAGAACTGCAGCAACTATTATATTCTTAGAACATTAAGCAATTTTTATCATTTTATTAAGTGTAATATTTTTTAAAAAAATTTAAATGTATATATGAATTATTTAATAATTTATTTTTCCTAATTTGGAGCAATGCTAAAAGATTTAATATAAATAATAAAATTACACATTCCAAATAGAATGCAGTTTCAATAATGTTAACTAAATTATTATTTTTTCAATTTATCTTATTGAGTATTTATCAGAAATATTTGGTTGAGAGATTTTGTTTTCTAAATTAAAGGGTCGGATTGAATTTTATTCCCCCGATGAGATTTGTAATTTTTTAGTACAGTATAATATAATAATTAACTCTTTAATTAAAATGAGACTCCTTCTAATTGATAAATTTTGCATTTATAATAAAACTCCTATGTTTAAGGAATTATTGTCTTCCAGTAATTTTGTAATATTTATTAATAATTTTAATAATAATCGCTTAAGATTATAAAATTATTACATGAATAAAATTGAGAAAATTAGAATTATTAGAAAATAAAACTCCCCCCCCCCCCCCCCCCCCCCCCCATCTCTGAACCCGCCCAGCTTTTTCTTCCGGGATTATCAAAAAATATCCCCTGTTTATCGCCATGACCTTGCTTTGAAGTCTCGCTCTCTTGCAACTCCTTCTTCATCCTCCTCTCACCATTCTTTCTCTCTCATTTTCCTCCCTTTCTTACAACAACACCCAGAAACTAAAAACCATGGAGAATAAGAAAATAAAGAAAAAGGAGACGAATGGGTCGACATGGTCAACTGATTTGCTGTTTCTACTTGTTTGAGTGGATGATATTGCAGGACCCATCTCTGGTAATGGGGCATGGAAGACAAAAACAAAGACACGTATATATAATCTAATTATAGCAAAATATAATATAAATCTCCTACGTACCGATGGCTCTAAACAGAGACGAGTACCATGAACTTACCCTTCATTTAATTCAAATACCACTTTATTCGATCCATCAGATTTGGCCTACCGAGCCTTACAAGCAACTCAGAATCTTCCAAAGAGGCACTGGGACCAACCTTACAGACAACTTATTAGGACACTGATTCAACGTGGTCTAACTCTGAATCAACAGGAGCTCCTCCATGAGAAACAGCTACCACTAATTCAATCTTTTGCCTGTTTACCTGGTGCTGCTTTCAAGATTGGACGAAAACTGGTAAATCACTCCACAACAATTGTACTATAAAAAATCAGAATAACCGACAAGTTTCTCAACAATCACAGGAAGAAATGGCTATGATTCTTAATAGATAAGTATAGTGTATCATTTCCCAATTTCAGTTTCCATTGGATTTTATAAAACCCATACATGAATATACCAAAAACATATAATTCGCCAGTCCAGGTAGCAGCCTTTATTGATGCAAATACCAGATTGCCTTTACCTGCAATACAGTCTTTTCAAATTAAGATGCCAAGGCAATCTGCACTCCTCCAGGAACAGCAAACTTTAGACCAACAGAAGGAAAGTAAACCTGGATCCCACTAGAAGCCTGCTGACATGTTAAAAGGTTTCAAAAGTTATTCAAGTTGGATACACCAAGTCCCATACACAAATACACACACAAGATGACATTCTTGCTAGAAAAGAAAAAAGAAGACCAATCACAAAGAAATGCAACACATCGCTAATCAAAACAAATCCTAGAGTTTAATGATCAGATATTCATGTATGATGAGTTACAAATTAATTTATCTACTTGGCCATTTAAGATAAATAAAGGAATTCATATCGTTATGCCTGAAAATTAAGATAGAAAACAGAAAAATAACTAAGACTCACACCTAGAAGTCCCTAGCCTAAGGTGACGGTTTCTTAGACATCATGCCTGCACTTCTTGGTCCCTAAATAGGATAGCGCATTTGGTACAGTAAGGTAGTTGGGTAACCACCAATGGGTAAACCCACATATTTGGAATAATTGGGTAAGGAAATACGCAATATAGAATAGATACTATATTACCCATTTTTTAATTTATATTAATAATTACTAACCATGGTGGCAGCAATGGTCGCAATAAAAGCGACAATAATGATGGTGACAGTAATGCAATAGTCTTAAAACACAAAAAAGCAACAGCGGCAAAAGTAATGAGGATACAACAATTGTAAGTAGTAACAACGATTAAGGTAGTGGCAATAGTAGGTTATGGTATGTCATTGGTAACGAGGTGAGGTGCTAATGGCAGCAATAGAGGCATTGGAAGAAGTGGCAAAGGCGACATTGAGGGTGTTGAGTTGGCTAAGAGGGTGGTAGTGGTGATTATGGTAATGAAATTGGTGAAAAGTGGTGGTCAGCACTATAGCAGCAAAGGAGGTAGCAATGATGGTAGCGGCATGTGCAACAAGAAGGGCGGCAATAACGTTGGGGATGGCAATGACCGACAGTAGCAACAGCTATAATGTCATGTTGACAGGTGTGGCGATAGGAGTAGTGGCGGTGGGATGATCATAGCAGTGGTAAAGACAACAATAATAGCAATAGTGATAACAAAGATGGCTAGGTAGCAGAAATAGTGGTGAGAATGGTTGTGACAGTGATGGCAATGTGGAAGTGATGGTGTAGTGGGCAAAGACAACAATAACGGGATCGGTAATGACAGTAGTAGTGGTAACAGCAGCAAAGGTAGCTGTGGCAGCGATAGCAGCTGAAGGAATTGCAGTGGCAGCAGCACAGGGGGTGATGGTGGCAGCAGTAGGGGGTTAGCAGTGAAGGTGCCGCTCATATCAAGGAATGTGAAAGAAAAATTACAAAATATCATTTTTGTCTTTTCAGAGCACCAGCTAGGTAAGTAGTGCTTATTCACCTTTAATAGGGCTATAACACTATATATATATATGGTGGTTGAACATTTACCCTACCCACAAAAAAAAAAAATGAGGTTACATAAATATTTATAATGTTTATAACTTAAAAGAATTGAAAGTATAAGGAAAATGCTAATAAATAGAAGCTATAATAATAATAATACTTTTAAATAGTAGAACAATTTTAGATAGCAAAGAAATACGATTCCTTATCTACATAGAAAAGTTAGGAGAATGAATAGAAAAGTTAGGACAAATTCATTCTACCTCATTCTCTCCCAACTAAAAAAACTCATCCTCAAATTTTAAGCATCAAAGTGGGGAAACATCTTAAAGCTTCTGAAAATTTTCAATAAAATTAACTGGTCATTTTTGTTACAAGCAAAAACAAAGGAGACACAATTGATTAGGAATTAAAAACTCTTTAGCTAATATGAAATCTACAAAATGAGAAATTTTGCTTCCATGGGCATATGGTGGTCCTGTTTCTCTATTCTGTGGACTCAAAAAATTTAACATTGATGGTTCCAACTTACAAGTGGTTCTATTTCTTTTTTATCTCATTATTATTTTCATTGACTGTTAGATCTTATGGACATCAATATTTACACATTTCTACAGTAGATAGGCTTCAAAACCACATTCTTCATACAATGCATAAGACAACAAGTACCAGTACTTCTGAATATGTTGATCATAAAGAAAAGTTCAATCGACAAGAATATGTGCAATCTTCATAGGAAATACATGACATACCACGACTCAGAGTAAGCACCATGATGGTTAGAAAGAAGACATTGTTGAGTTATCGAAATAATCATATTGTCTCCCATGTGTCAAAACCCAGGTCCAAGAGAGGAAGAATGAAAGCAAGAGCTGGCTACTAAAGCCCTTGCTGGTGTACAAAGCATCATGCCTGGATAATCTAATGTGGCAGGTGGTCTGGGTTTGAAGGATGAGCAAATAAATTGTCTGACAGCATAGAATTTAGTTATTTACATTCCCTTATCTTTTGTAGTTGTTTCTGTTACATTTCCATTATGGTTTTTCTTCTAGAATTCAGAATATAAGGAAATTGTAACCTGATTCTAAAGTTGGATGAAATTTTATCGAAATGAATCTTTCTCTATTCAACAATTCCTTGTGAATTTGTCGAATCCCCTTCTCCTTTTCTTCCCTTTTCCCTTCTCTCTTGTTCTTCTTAACTAGGTTTCTTTTAACTCTTCGAATTCTTACAACCCACCTCATTGTTGGAGTACATATTCTGGTAATATCCTATCCTTGATTTTCAGGATCTTGCTGCTTTTCAAGGATCTTACTTGGACCCCGATTGCAGGGATCTTGCTGCAGTAATAAGGAATCTTAGCTATTAAGGAATAAAAAGACATTTGGAGATCAGTCCAATATCCCTACTAATCTGTCATCTTGTATTTATTTCCTGATTTAATGTATTTATATGATGATAGGACTATTACACCTTTCATTTATAAATGTAGCAGCACATAAACTTAAATAAACAAGGAAAGTTTCTTGACTACATCCCTAAATCTACACACGTCCAAGGCTCCTAACAATCTGTTACCAGATCCTTCTGATTCCAACAAATCATTAGCTGATACTGTTACAATGGCCTGAAACAAGGGTAAGGCAATAATGAACAGGCAAGAGAAGTGAGGATGACAATGTTAGGAACTCGAGCAGAAGTTTATGAATTTTATTGCATAAATGTACGAGCGTAGCACCAAACCAAAGCACACATCAACTGACATTTCGAGCAGTTGGTTGAGATTTGCAGAGAGGACTAAGATTTAGAGAATTAGCCATGCTGACGAGTCATTCTCCTCCCTTTTAAACTCATGAGCAGTGTATTCTTCCCACCCCGAAACAACATGAAGTTCGCAGTAATAGTACACTAGTCTAGAGGCATAGTCATCTAGATTTCTGTACTGAAAGTGGAAATTCCAATCTTCAAAGGCCTAAACCCACACAACTAGATCAGATATGTCTGAGATATTTC